CCATATGATATGGTTCATAACCACCAAATTCCCACACCGAAAATTCACCACATCCTGAAATATGTAAAATATTAACATTTTATTCTAAAATTAAATTTGCAAAATACGAGAAATACTTTTGTTGAAAATTATGAAATTGCTAATATACTACATCCTAAATTTATTTTTTTCATTTAAATTATTTCATAACATTACCAAAATCAAAGATTAATATGAAAATTTCATTTAAAAATTTAAAATGAAACAATAAAATTAAATAAATGCATTCATAGGAAAGTGTAACAAAAATAGATAAGAAATTAACAGGAAAAATGATACGATAAATTTAACAATTTTACAAGAATCATACCTTGTAATGTAACATTTTGTACATCAATTCCACGAGTATACTGTACATGTGGCACTGTTCGCCTTCGATTACCTTTCATATTATTATTCGATTCCACTGAATCATCAAATGAATTGATCCCTTCATCTATAAAAAAAGTGATCTTTCAGTTTTTAAAATATTTCATTAATAACTATCTTAGAATAGATTGATTTAGTCATATGTTTCGGATCATATTTTTCATTAAGCATAATTGTAAATTACCTTGCGAGGGATTTGATGTAGTTGTTGAGGAAGAAGGAGATGGATTATCTGAAAAACGTCGTTGAACAGCACCAATTATAGAACCAATCATGCTACCACATTGAAGTGAACATATTAATCGAGTTTTACCAACACCACAATGTCCAAATACTTTCAATTTAATTCGACGTAATGGCATTTCCAAAGGACATAATTGTTCCACGTAAGTATCACGTGTTTGATCCTAAAAATAAAACAAAACATATAATTCACATAGTACTTTCTTTTTTTCTTTGTTTTTTAATAAAGTAGAACTGAAAGACGAAAAAAAAATCTCATCTGTGATCTTTAATTTCCAACTTTTACAATAACTAATCAAATGAATAAGGTGCCATGAAAGTGTTACTGTATGAAAATTAGAAACTAACTAATTTCATTTTCGCTAAAAGTGTACCAATTTGTGTATGCTCTTGAGCAAGCGCAATAATTTCAGCTGTAAGTCCGTCCTGAAATTAAAATTTAGATTAAAAGGATCGAATTAAAATGATTCGAGGAACAACCATCAATATTTTAACTTAATTTTCTAATATATATATATATATATATATACACGTATTTGTTCTTCACAACAACAAAAAAAAATTCTCGGTTAATTGTTTAAAATAATTACTTTTAATTAATTACTCTTGGATAGAATGACATAAAGGTAAGATAGATTAAAGAATTAGTTAAACAAAAAGGCAAGATAGATTGAAAGCTAAGGAGGGCGACAATTAATGTGCAATAAATTAAGGGATAAAAAGAAAAAAAGAAGTGTGAAGTTGGATAAAATAAAACTGTGTCAAATTTCATTGTATACCCAATTTATTGACTTTAAAATGATGATGGTACAACATAGTACCTGTTCAAAAGTTATCTATCTTGAGAATGAGAAAGAAAATTGTGACTAAAATTTTGACGAGAGAATAAAAAGAGTATTCATCACTTTTATTTTTCATTAGCACAAGTTATCTAATGAATGAATAGTGATTACTTTCAATGATACAATTGCAACTTTATCACTTGGTAGTATTAGTAGTGATAGTGATATTGAAAAATGATTGACAGGTTATAATTTGGTCATATATTTGTTTCTTAATACAAATCTCATATGTCTTGGAAAGGAGAGAAAGAGAGTTCAAAAAAAAAGGGAAGAAATAGAAGGGTGAACAAATTAGAGAATAATTATGATAAAAACGTTGAAAATGCTGCAAATAAAAAACACAAAGAATAAATATTATTTATAAACTTTTACAAAAATAATATTTCTTATTCATAATATGACACTTATAAATATGATTCATTTTATATTAAATTTGAAAAATAAATCATATCAAAAAGATTAAAAACTTTAAGGATGTTATACAAGATTGCTATTAATGAAAGGTTAAATTAAATAAAAAAAAAAATCAAACTATAATGTTATTCATGATAGGATTATTGAAGTACAGTATAGCATATATCTATCTATTCAGGAATATTTATGTAAAGTAGAAAATATTTTAAACTTACAAAGCACAAAACTATTTCATTACCTTATTTTTTCGAAGAACGTTTGCGCCAAAAAAGCATAAACAACGAACAATTTCAATGTGACCTTCTTTAGCAGCAAGATGTAGTGGTGTTAATGAATTCTGAAATGAAAAATAGTTTTAAAAATTTTTTCAAAAAAAAAACTTTTCGACAAGAAATGTGTAAGAATCCTTTACGAAAAGAATGACAAGAATCCTTTATTAAAAATA